CCCCAAAACCCCAAAACCCCAAAACCCCAAAACCCCAAAACCCCATCAATCTTAAATATTATTGAATATGGAGGTAAAAGAGGAGCTTACTGATGGCCTGTATCTCGCTAATACAGTGTGATTAGGTAAGAATTTCAAGTAATTTTAGCCATTGCCTTGGCTGTCCTAGTTAAGGTCTTTCTCTGGTATCGCAAAAAAGTCGAAAACAGAAGAAAATACGAAAAACTGCAAGAAATAGGCAGAAAAGTAAAGGCTACAAGAGACGCAAAAGTTCAAGAATTTTTGCAGATTCATCAGAAAGATTTTCCATCCAAGAAGAGAATGCAAGAGATAAGGGAAGAATACCCAAGCTTAATGTCTTTGAGACAAGCCCTTGACAGTCGCAAGATTACCAGCAAGGAGCTTGTCATGACTTATATTCATCAAGCAGCCACTGAAGGAATGGAACTAAATGCTCTTGCAGATGTGATGTTCGAAGAAGCTTTTCAAGAAGCCCAAGAATGTGATAAAGAACTCCAAAAAGGAAACCTCAGAGGTTTCCTTCATGGTATCCCTATCAGCTTCAAAGATCAGTTCAATATCAAAGGAACCCCTTCTACTATTGGAGCACTAGCATGTGCTGAAGATTTCCCAGAAGAAGACGGAATTATTGCTGAAGTCCTTAAAAAGCATGGAGGGATCCCATTTGCTAAGACAAACCTTCCTCAACTGATGGGATCAGCTGAATCACTCACTCGGCTCTGGGGGAACTGCTGTAATCCTCGAAACCCTGAAAGAGTTTCAGGTGGATCTTCAGGAGGAGAAGGAGCCCTTCTCGGGGTCAAAGGATCTCCCATCGGTATTGGAACCGATGCGGCAGGAAGCATTAGAATTCCTTGTAGCTTCTGAGGAGTCTTCGGGTTTAAACCCTCTTACAAAAGAATGACCAAGCTCGGAGCTAGAGATGTTTGTCAGATGGATGAAACAGATGGATGTGTTGAAATCACTGGTACGACCGGCCCAATGGGCCACAACGTTGATGACTTGATGCAAATTATGAAGATATTTTTAAGCCAAGATGTTTTTGATAAAGATCTAACTATCCCTCCTGTCCCTTTTAACGAAGACGACTATGACCAAAACCCAACCAACCTCAGGTTAGGGTACTTTGACTATGACGGTTTCTTTTACCCGTGTAAAGCTGTTAGAAGATCAATCGAAGAAACAGTTTCAGCTTGTAAAAAGGTTGGAATTGAAATGGTAGAGATTGAGGTACCTAACTCAAAAGAATATACTGATGCAATGGCAAAATTTTTCCTTGGAGAATCTAAAAGAGACGAAATCATGCTTCAAGGAGAGCCACCAATTATCGAAGATGATCCTACGCAATACATTTCAATGCTTCCTTCTTTTGTCAGAAATATCCTAGCATCTATTCTCCCTCATATCGGAATGGAAAGAGAGTCTATCTTCTTCAGAGCTCTAGGGGATCCATCAATAGGATTATATCTTGAGGCATGCAAAGAGAGAAGGATCTTTGAGAGAGCATTTAACAAGATTTTGGATGACAAGGAATTAGATGGATTTGTATTCCCAGGGGTATCTGGACCAGCTTTCAAGCATTACAAGTCTTCAGAACTCAGTGCTATCATCCTTATAACTGTGATAGCTAACATGATTGATGCTCCTTCCTGTGTTATTCCAGTATCAACTGTAACCAAAGAAGATCTTGCTGAAGAATATAATGATCCAAAGTATCCAAATGATCAGTTCGTAAAAGAAGCCAGAAAAGATTGGCAAGATTCAGAAGGAATGCCAGTTGGCATTAAAGTCTGCAAAAGGACATACGAAGAAGAGAAGTGCATTGGCATCGGGAAAATAATAGAATCTGCACAAAAATAGGTTCTTGGACTATAAAAGATTTCAATCCTAGAATTGAAGATAGGGGTTTTGGGGTTTTGGGGTTTTGGGGTTTTGGGGTTTTGGGG